GAGTGACAGTACTGCTGAGTTACACTTCTCATCATGCGCAGAGGCGCTGATTGTTACGCTGACGTTGCAAAAGTTTTACCTCCCATTGTTTCGGTTGTTCTTACCGGGTGTTCTAACACAATTGTTATTACTAAGTCGTTTCCATTGGCGGGACGGGACCCCCATCTCGCCTTCACATTTTTCAGTATGCACTTGCTCTGTGAGGGCAGCCGTCTTGTGCTGACCCGCCTCAGAGCGCAGCTCACACTCACGAAAAAAGTTAGTCACGATTGGACTACAGTTGCAATCTATGTTGACTCTACTCTCTCTATTTTTGATTTTTCTTTTCATATTGTCTCATACTTCCTGGATCCTCAACTGGCCATATCTTCATCCTCCTACACAATTTACTCGACCTAATACTCTTGGGTCGTGAGGGTTGCCACGGGGGCCTCCCTCCTACCTGGAATCGTTCTGGATTAATGCATCACTTCTCCTATGCATCGTTCACTTTGGAGATCTGACCACTGATCGCATGGGGAGCAAAGGGACACCTTCATGCGATCACACTCATAAGAACACTTCTACCTCGATTGAGGCACCACTACCCTTCTACCCCCGACCATGGGAACCCCCTTGAGGATTATCACATGGAATGTCAAAGGACTACGCTCTCCCAACAAACGACGCCAGATTATTAGACATTTACACAAATTGAAAGCAGATGTAGCTCTACTCCAGGAGACTAACCTCCCGGAGGCGGACATTTTGCGGATGCGGCAGTCGTGGGTGGGAACGGCAGTAGGTGCCCCGGCTAATGGCAGGAAGGCGGGTGTGATCACCCTTATTAACAAATCCCTGCCTCATACCCTGCTTTCTCATGGCATGGATACAGTAGGAGGAAGATGGTCCCACATCTTTCTATCCCTGGGAGACGCCATCCTGGACAATAAAACGGCCCCAACCAGGACAATAAAACCTTCTGCGAATCTTTATCTGCACAAACATGCTCCTGCAACCTGCATTCCAACATCTTGATCGGTGGGGACTTTAATGCCACGCCAAATACTCTGGAAGACCGATCTTGGGAACTCAGATCTACCCCCCCCCACGCTAGGGCCTCAAGACAAACACCTGCCGGACATGATAAAGTCGAGTGGCCTTTCAGACATTTGGAGACACCATCATCCCTTGGACAGGGAATATACCCACTGGGAAACTGCTGGCCAACCTTGCCCGTGGACGCCCCCCCGCCCCCGATGACGCGCTGAAATTGACAGACCCTCAGGGAAAGATTCACAGTGACGCTACCAAAATATGCACATTGTTCAGTGACTTTTATCGATCCCTATACGCTGCTGACGTGGCAGACATCCACGCTGGACAGACTTTTCTAAACTCAATACCCCTTCCCTCCCTCTCCCCCGAGGATCTGGAGTATTTGAATGGTGACATCACCCAGGAGGAATTGACCGAAGTTATTCACGACTCCCCACGACACAAAGCACCAGGCCCTGATGGTTTGACCACAGAGTTCTATAAAATTCTCACGGAAGAAGTTAATCCCCACCTTACTGCATTATTCAACTCCATCTTACATGACGGTCAATACCTGTCAACATTTAATGACGCCTATATTAGGCTGATTCCTAAAAAAAATAAAGACCCGCTTTCGCCAGCTTCCTACCGCCCGATATCCCTACTCAACCAGGATGCAAAACTGCTCTCAAAAATCCTCGCGAACAGACTAGCTGCCATTTTGCCGAAACTTATTTCTACTGATCAGGTTGGTTTTGTTTCCGGTCGCTCCGCTGTTATGAATGTACGCAAAATAATCTCCTCATTGGAACATCTGAGATTGTCGAACTCCTCTCGGCGGACACAGGCTCTCTTAGCCCTGGACACTGAGAAGGCCTCCGACAATGTCAGCTGGAGTTGGTTGCACCAGGTCATGTCACACATGGGTTTCTCTGGGACATTCCTGAAATTCGTCTCCACCCTTTACACTTAGCCCACGGCCCGCATTTGCACCTCATCAGCCATCTCAGCGTCCTTTCCTCTATATAAGGGTGCACGCCAGGGGTGCCCTTTATCCCCACTCCTCTTTAACATGGCAATCAAACCACTCTCCCGCTCCCTAGCCTCCTCTCCCCTGTATTCGGGAGTCTCCATAGGCCCCTATGATGTTAAGTTAGCCCTGTTCGCCGATGATATAGTACTGTTGTTATCCGACCCCTCTACCCAACTTCCATGAGTGCTCCAACACATAACCATGTTTGGTACATTCTCGGGGCTAAAAATCAATTTTGCCAAAAGCGAATTATTGCCCCTATCACACAACTTTACCTTGGACACCTCCACGTGGACTGATCCCTACAAAGTACACATTAGACACCGTTCCGTTAAATATTTGGGTATTCATATTCCTCGCCTAGCCACGGATCTTTATTCACTAAACTATACACCCCTCATACAAAAAATTCTAAACTAACTCCGCAGCTGGCAATCACTCCCACTCACCACCCTTGGCAGATGCCACCTGATACGCATGATTAGTTTTGCCCGCCTGTTGTACCCAATGCAAACAATCCCGCTCCTTATTAAACATAAAGACATTCAAACCCTCAACAGCTCCTTCTCCAAGTTTATTTGGAAAGGGAAAAAACACAGAATTGCATTGTACAAACTCCAAAGCCCCGCTACCGACCTTGGTGCCAATCTACCTAACATCAGACTATATAACCTAGCCAGTATTTTCCTCCACGCTAGAGATTGGATATCTGATACCTCATTCTTCACCAACACACCATTAGAGAGCCACCTAGCGTCCCCGTGGTCTTTATCAGGTATTTTACACACCCCACTTCCCCTCCTCCCACCTTACGTCAAACAAAATATCTTGTTAAGAGACACGATAATTACTTGGGGGGAAGTCAGGAAACTTTATTGCCTACCTGGGGTAATCTCCCCTTTGATGCCTATCACGTCTACTCCGGCCTTCCCAGCCGGGCTCGACTCAAAAGCTTTCAGGGGCTGGGAACTTCTGGGTATCCATACCCTGCAAGACATACTGACACCTCAGGGACACTGCAAGACACTCCTCACCTTGTGCAAGGAACACCACGTTCCCCTTTCTGCTGAAAAACCTCCCTCCCGCTAGCCCACCCTACACAAAGGAATGAGCCCTTGAGGATGAAAAAAGGGAAGGAGGTCAGCAATGACTGCTGGCATAAGTGAATCCGACTGGCATAGAATCTGAGAAACACAGAAGGCACAATTCTTCCCTGTGCCAAGCCCAACCTTGCAGATAACACAAATAAGTCCTCATAGGTGGGTTGTCCGCAGTATGATTGCCTTTTTGTTTGGTGCTAACAGTCAGTCAAAAAAGGAATGCTCATGGACAAGCTGAGCTTAAAGAGTACCAGGAGGAATATGAAAAGTGGCCACTAGATGCCAAGCACTGTATCTGCTGCTCAAGGGTTGCATCCCTGAAGGGCGGCTGTCTGAGGTACTTCTGAAAGTGGTACACAGTCATCAAACACAGATATGCCCTAGACATACTGCAGACCCTGGACCTTGAGATGGTGCACTGGTGAAGACTTCTGGAACTGGGAAGTCATCTGTACAAAGGAGCACTTATGTGGAGTTCCTTATACTGGAAGTGCCTGACTGACTTTTCTTTGGAGAAGAAGTTGCAGCTCCAGCAGAGAAAAAAAACATGCAGTTTAGTGTGTGCATGTGCTCCCACTGTGCACACGCTGTTGCTTCCTCTTCCCAGTGCTGCGTTATCAAAAAGCCTGAGGAGAAGGAGGCCGGCAAATTAAAAGACCAGTTAGGGCCAAACTGTGCCTGGCTGCTGGACCAACAACGAAACACACAGCCTGAGAGTTAAAATAAAGAGCAGGACTACCCCCAAGTGGCCAGCATGTAAACTGATATAAAGCACAGCCCTATATTCAAATTGAAAGGTGGCCAGCTTGCAAAAAAACATGAAGTACAAGCAAACCCAGAAGTAAAAAAGAGGATTCAAACTCCTGTACAAAATGGCTTCAGTACAAAACAGAGCATCAAGCCTGTTAGTCACTCACAACAGTGTATCTTCAGACACGGAGACAGATTAATTACTGCAGTTCTTGTTCCAGCACACAGCAAGGAATCCTTAGATATACTAGTGAGGGAGCGATAACAGGTGTGATCAGAGCCGCCTCTCTGAGTGCCCGCCTCGTGGAGCTAAAGCGGTTGGGAGGAGAGGGAGCGCAGAGAGCTATCGCTGGCTCTGGATGGGACACTACCGCCGCGGTGATCGTTCGCTTCTGTTCTCTCTTTCCCTTCTCGGCTGCTCTGTAGCTGCAGCAGCCAAGAAAGAGAAGAGAGAACAGAAGCGAGCTCTCGCCACGGCGGTAGTGTCCTGTCCCGCAGGCGGCGCACCCGCTCGCTGACATTCCACTCACTCACCCATCCCCCCTGCAATTTTCACTCGCCAATTGCGAGGGGGTGAGTGGAAGTTTTGAGGCCTGTACTAGCCGGACCTGAATAGTAGAGTCCTGTGCTAACTAGAACACAGATGGGTTGTCAATGCTGACTGCAGGACCGTAGCAGAGAGACTTGAACTGGGAAAACCTGTGCTGGTTGACTAACTAGAGAGACTTTCAGGATGCTATCAATCGGTGTCCCTTAATGGATGATAGAGAAAAGGAGATTGTTACTTTTTGTGTACTGTGAATGTATACCAGTGAAAATTGTGCATTTGCATGATGCATGCTTGTTCAAATTTAATACAGCAGTGGTGTTTTTTTTTAATGCCCCTAATATAGGTGGAAAGTGAACGTGTGGAGCAGAAGTCTAAGTTGGCTCTAATGAAGGACACATATTCCACTGTGGAAAATGAAATGAAAATACTTACTAGAAGAGCGGCAGATTTGGAAAATGAAGTGAGGCAGCAAAAATCTGAGTATGATAGCTTGAGGTAGATATGCATGAATTCTATTTTCTTTTCTTTTTTTATATTACAGCACATTGTTGCAGTATATTTCCAGGCAGGACAGTTTGGAAACCAACATCAAAATGTTCATACCTTCACTGAGCATGCTCAGAAGCATAATCATAAAGGGATTTTGCCTAGACATTTTGTTTTCCTTTTTTTTTCTTCAAGTTTGTTGGCCACATATGTGTAGCTGACTTAATTGTCTAAAACGTAAAATAAAGGAATAATAAGTCACATTAAGAGGCATAAACTATGAGGAATAAACTCAACACAGGAAATCATAAGGTATAGTTTGGACTTCATTTATAGTCGAGCGAAAGGATGGCACTACCGAGTGTAGGAATTTCCTATAATCGTCAGTGCCATCTAGGGGTGCTAGTGCTGTGCAAACAGCAATCACCTGGCGTATCGCCCTTTGAGTTTTAGTGAGGCACTTTTTAAGAAATAAAATCCTTCTTTCTGTATTTTTGGTGTGCTTCCAGTAAGTGTACCTTCCATAGAGCTTCACAGTACTACATTCAAAACACATGTAAATTGCATCAAAAGCAACTGCAACAAATGAAAAACGCCAAGGTATCAATAGGTCCTAATAGTTTGCTTCCTTTTATAACATGTAGTATGAGTGGAATGAATTTTCATATGACCCTGGGCACAGATTTCATCCAACTTTCTAAACTCACAAAAAATCGATACTACAGAGAATGTGAAGCATGGGGAAGTATTGTGCGTTAAAGAGAATGAAGTGCTGATACAATCAGGTTATGAAACACAAGAAAAAATCCATAAGTGTGTGCAAATATGTGTGTTTATCCAGCCATTGATTTTCATCAGGCTACCTAACATGTTTTGAAAGCTTGTATTTTTAAAATGTGAAGTCAGTTAATGGTATCACTTTAACCTAACGCTCTGTTGTTATCACTGTCAGAAAGAAAGGATTGTAAAGGCACTTATGCTCCAATGGAGACAGCGTAGGGGTGTAAGGTACCTGCTAAGACTCACATTTAGATGAATGATCTCTGTGGCATAATGGAGCACTCTAGTGCTGGTAAACACTTGTAAATTATGTTTTTATTATCCTTACTCTTCCAGGAAAAAGAGATAACTGCCCTTTTTCCTGCAACAACTTAGATTTGCAAATGAAAGTAACAGTATCATTTGTCAGTTAGGTGGCATTCTCATACACAGTTCCTACATTATAATATTATTATACAGTATATAATTTGGCCATGCGGTAGTGTTGGCACCTTTGTGAACCTGATGCTTTAAGTATTTTCTGTCAATGAATGGTTTTAAGTATACATTAATTAAATAGTATTTTTTTTTTGGCAGATTTTTGAATAACAAAACGGAGCACTCCTTAGATGAGACTCAAAGACGACTCTCAATGAAGCTGAATGAGCTACAAATTGTCCAAGACAAAATAGTGCGACTTGAAGGAAAAATTGGTATGTTTTAGGATTTAAAAAAAAAAAAAGTTGTATTTCATGCTAAATCATTTATTATAATAACCCATATAACAATTATTTAACAAATTTCACAGTTTCAGAAATTGAGTCCTTTGCTGATACAGGTTTTTTTAATTAGCAACCACATATTAATTATTATAATGTGCAGTTAAAGGAGAATTATGAGGTGAGTGCTTTGCACTCAGCCTCATAATCTGAGCTGTCCTGTGACAATGAAACTGTCACAGGTCGGCTCAGTAGATCGGGAAGTGAGCGAACACATACCGGCGCTCGCTCACTTCTCGATCTATCTTCGCAGGTGAGCCGTGACAGGGGAGTGACTGGATTCCCCCCTCCCCTGTCCGATCATCCAGCGCAGACTGGCCGAATGGACGGGGGAGGGGGCAGGTTCAGGTGGCTCTGCCTCTCGATAGGCAGAGCCCGCTGTCACTCACGCAGCTGGGCGGATCCAGACATAATTGTTGGGATCCGTTTCAGCTGCCGCGGCTCAGTATACAGCGAGCTGCATATCGCGGTATACTGAGCTTTGGGTGACGGGAGGACGCTAGTTTGTTTCCTCCCGTTACCCTTTGGAGAACTATGGGGAAAAGCACTAACCCCATAGTTCTCCTTTAAGTATTTGAGACTGAAACACTGAGGTGAGCACAACTCTTGTTATTAAAAAAAATAAAAAAATATATATACAGGTGAAACTCGAATAATTAGAATATCGTGCAAAGTTCATTTATTTCACTAATGCAACTTAAAAGGTGAAACTAATATATGAGATAGACTCATTACATGCAAAGCAAGATAATTCAGCCGTGATTTGTCATAATTGTGATGATTATGGCTTACAGCTCATGAAAACCCCAAGAACCCCAAATCCACAACCTCAAAAAGTAGATTATTACATGCAATCAATAAAACAAGGATTGTACATAGAACAATATCGGACCTCTGAAAAGTACAAGCATGCATATGTACTCAGTACTTGGTTTGGGCCCCTTTTGCAGCACTTACTGCAATTACTTTTGCACGATATTCTAATTATTCGAGTTTCACCTGTAGATATATATACTGTATGTATGTGTATAGATATATATCTATATCTAGTAGCTAGTAGCAGTAGTGCCATTCGAACAGCATCCCTCAGCTATACACTGGGCGGAAGAGTTTTAAATCAGCCCCTGTTTTGTGTTTGTATAAGCAATGTGGGTGTATGTATGGGAATACATTAATAATTGTCCTTCATTGTGTTTGTGTCAATGACAGCTCAGATTACCACTAATCAGATCAGAAACCAATTAGAGTGTTCCTGTTCATATGATCACTTTGTCAGCTATGACATAGTTATCACATTCAGGCTGCAGGCATTTTTAACAAAATAAGCCTTCAGCCTGTAGATGCCACTGCAGCTTGACATTGGCTTTGTTAATTTGTTTAGTACTGTGGTTACCTGAAACAAATATAGTATTAAAAAAAAATAATAATAGAATTGTGTTTAACTTAATTGTGTAAATTATTTATAGTTACTTTTAGGTTAGCTGATGCTGCTAAAATAGTACTAGTCAACAATTATCTCTGGTCACAAGAGTTAACATTATTATTTGCATTTTTCAGTATACTCTAGATGAGATGTGTTCTTGGATATTAATAATAATGCGTAAGAATGGGTTGCCTGTGCATACAATCTTTACTGACAAATGACAATTGCTTAGTGTTACCCTTATTTTTCACTTACTTGTCTTCCATCAGATAATAGCTCCTTTGTATGTATACAGTAAATTCATGTCTGCTGTATAAATCAATTATCTCTATGCAAGCCTTTAATTGCACCCTAATGCTGTCAATAAACAGCCTAATAATAGCAAACTTTAGGCTCAAATTGGAGCTTTACGATAATTTCATTTCACTTAGGAGTCCATTATGAAGCAGCGGTTTGGCCTTACCATGATAATATCACTGGTTTTTTTTTTGTTTTTTTTTTTAAAGAACTGCACATTTATAAAGTACAGTGGTGTGCTTTACAAATGTGCATTGCATTTAGCTTGTTCCGAATCAATCAGGACACTGTTAAACTGAATGAAGGAAGAAAAAAAGCCAGGCGGAGAGCCTGTTCATGTGACCTGTCAAAGTCATTTGTCAATTGAAGCGTTCTGTCTGCTGTGTTTAGCAGACAGAACTCTGTCACATACCACAGGCTCCACACCATGGCCTGTATTTTTTGAATGGGCTGTAAAATGCAGGCCGCTGTGTGGAATAATACTGTGGAGTATAGTGGATAGGGCTTAAACGCACCGGTTAGTTCACAGGAAGAGTTGATTTTTTTTCAACCATCTTTGATCATTCTAAGGCCCCATTCACACTAAGCGACACTTACCTCGAGCGGATTTCCGCACGGCGGGATAGCGCGACTGTTCCAGCGACGATCGCGCGACCTTCACCGTGGGGCTGCATTCAATAATAGCAAAATCGCGCGACATCCGCGGGAAATAGGGTCCTGCACAATCGACAGCGACGGGCGACATGGAGCTGTACATTAGAACAGCTCCTTTGAAAATCATTGGACGGCGACTTTTCGCGATATCGCGCAGCAAAAATGTGCGCCCAGTGTGAATGGGCACTAAGGCTTTGATAATACAATGATACCAATATGCACTGATGGTTTACAAGCATCAACTGGAAAAATCTGTAAAGCATTAACCGGTGAAGGCATTTGAGACAAGTTACATATGGAAGACATTGCTGGAAAAATTACTGTATACACTTGCAACATTTCTTAGACATAAAAAGCCTTTCATTTTTTTTTTATATCTTTGTATACGTTGTATTGTATAGATATTTCATTTATGCATACTATTGGCTATCTTTTCTTGCCCAGTCTCATTCAGTGGCATTTCCTTTAGCAATTTTGTTTATGCTTTATGGCAATTTCCATTAACAGATGAACAATCAAGCCAAAGTCTCACTCAACTAGAGGAAATATCAATGCTCCAGAATACATTATCTGAGCTGGACAAAGAGAAGGACAGTTTAATACTCAGTGTGGATCAAAAAACGGAAAAGATTTCCTCACTTGAAGATAATATTTCTCTAAAGGTAAAAGAAATATCAGTTACTTTTGTACATTTGTAGTAATCTTTCAGTAATGCACTATAATTATTTGAATGCTTACTTTCTTCTTCTCCAATGAGGGGCACGGGAAGACTTTCATGTTCAAGTTATTCTGCCACAAACAGGAGGATTGGACATTGGCAAACTAAAAACTATAGGCCGAAGCAGAATAACCCCTCCTACTACCAGCATGCCTCGTTTGTTTGCTGGTGTCTTGGGGAACTGATGTATTTTTTGCATCTCTGCTGTAATAAAAGACTAACTTATTTTTACCAGCACTTTCTTATTCTTTAATTTTTTTTTCTTCAATCAAGACTCTTCTATATTACTGCCTGAAATTGTGAACTTGTCTCTCTGTGTGCAGCTATCCTGCATGCTTGTCCTCAGCCTGGCCATTTGAGTACATCGTCTGGACCCCGCTGGACTATACATTGTGGGGATAACCTGCAGGTGAACTTCAAGCTCTGGATTGGCCGCGGTGTGCTTTCCAGACTCCGCTCTGCAAAAATTTAGCTGCGGAGTGCTTTCCAAGTTCAGAGCCACTTGCATTTCCTCAGTGGTTGCCCTGTTTCTGAAGACTCACTTAGTGAGTAGGCTGGTTGGGCTGAGCACTGGGAGTTACCTCATTTACATAGTTCTCTATGCGCCTTTATTCCCACTTGTTTCTACCACGGAGGGGTTTTACACTCTGGGATTTGTCACTGACATCATTTGTTGGGCAGATTATGGTGGTCTTTCCCACCATGCAGCATCGAGGAGGCATCTTCCTGCTGCAGCTCCTGCTTACAAAGAACCACATGGTACTTCAATCTTAGATCAATACCTGCTGCCAGTCTACAGTGACTTTGGTCACTGTAATTGACAGCCAATTAACCGTCACCTACCAGCTGTCCAGGTTTCATGAGTATTTGATGCCTTGCCTCTTACTCTGAGCCTATACGTTGCCTTACTCCCACGTGGTCACAACATGTCTGATTCAAGACACGGAGGGGGCAGTTCTGCTGCACCTGGTGCCCACACTCTACTAGCAGCTTCAGGGTTGATTGCAGCATGCCTACTGATAGTGCTGATGTCTGCAGCCTAGAGTGATTTTGGCATCTGCTTCTAGAGTCTAGTCTGTCATCGTAGTTCTCTTCAGATCTGTAGAGTGTGGCTACATCCTCTATCCTTTCGGCTGCGGTTATCACAGTTTTTCAAGACTTTATGGCCCAAATCAGCCAGGCATTTTTTGATTCTGATCAGAACCGCTCTACCCTATTCTCTCCTGCAGATCCCATACGTGAATTGGCCATGACCTTAGCGGCTTCCATGACATAAGCTGCAGAGACTTTTATTCTGAGTCGCTCTGGTCCTTGACTGATAAGCTTACACCTGAGGAGTTGAGATCTAATGCTAATATTACTTCCAATCTAGGAGTTTAGAGGTGAATGGGAGTAAGGAGATAGGTCTGAAATTATTGAGGTTGGAAGGGTTAAAGGTTTTTTGGGTATTGGTGTGACTAGTGCATGTTTGATTAGGGAGGAGTTATATTTTATCAGGGCAGCTTTGTACAGGGTAAAGTCTTGCAGAGACCTAGTTCTCCGCCACAGTCGCTCAAGAGCGCGGCTTTGTCTTTTTTGATGTTTGGTAACTTCAGTTTGCCACGGTTGTAGCAGATTAAATTAAAGCAGATCATTTTGACTCCTATTGATGCAGTTAGCACCACTCTAGACTTAAAAGATCAGCTTATTACTTCTACCAGTGCTATCTGCAGTCTGGAGTTCTTTAAAACTCCTAAGGCCACAAAGACTTTCCTTTTGCACCCACATTTCCAGCTCTTTCTCTACAGAGATTGGAAACATCCTGACAAGCTGTTTGCTCGCCAAAAGCGCTTATTAGCTTAGTACACATTTGGGGAGAATTTTGTGCAAAAGTGTTCTATTGCTCTGTGGATCTGGCAGTGTCCAATCTTAGCAAGTCAATTTCCATTGCAATAGAAGACGTGCCTTGATAGGTAAGTGGTTGGAAACCCTTCCTCAGGCTCTTTTTTTCTCTGGCAGTCCCCAGTTCTCTATTTTCTTGGGCCTTTTAGTATTTGTTTACTGTGTTGTCCAAAATCAGTTGGACTGATTTTGGATGTCCCAAATGTGAAAGACTTCCTGTGTCCCTTAATGCACAAGAAAGAGAACAGGATTTTTGTACACACTGTACAATCCTTTTCTTGGAGCCCATTGAGGCATACATGCTCTATCCTTCTGTGTTTATGATCTTGCTCTTGGTACTGATTTGCCATAAAACGAGGCATGCTGATGGTAGGAGAGGTCGTGCTGGGCTGGTCTACAGTTTTTTTTTTGTTTGCCAGTGTTCAACTCTCTTGTAGGTGGCAGTATAACCTGAAGATAAAAACTTCCTGTGTCCCCCAATTGACTCCAAGAAAGGGACTTTAAGGTGAGTACAGAAATCCTATTTTTTGCCTTTAAAGATTAAATCCACCCGATTCTGATATTTAAGATGTAAAAAGATGCCAACCAGCTTATGGTACCTCTTTTTTTGCCAGAGATCTTGCCTGTCTCACCAACAAATACCCATTAAATTAGATTACAGCAATGTCAGTGCTTCAGCAGCACCTTTTTCATATCAGTTCATCAGTGATCATCCTTTTTGCAATTGCCACATCTGGTATGGGGATCTAGAAACGTATGTGCAAAGATATTACTGCTGGAGTTTCTCAGAAAGAAGTTGAATGTCTGGTATACCTCATGGGGGGAAAATGATCCAGTAACTTTCCAAATGGCTCTAATATTACAATTGCAAAATTGCATGAACAGTCTGAATTAAAATAGTTAAAATCAGTGCTTCGAAATGCAGAATTTCAATAAATGGGGAGGGGATATAGAGTAAGTCTGCATCAAACAACATAGACAGTACAAGTATCCAAGAACCAGAAATATGGTGATATGCAGATACCCAGAGCAGACAATATGACAATAACTTGCTAAATACTGATTTTTGATTTTGGTTTTGGAATACATCATGAGATTGCTCATTGCTTAGTTCTGTTCAACTTGATCCATCTAGGGTTTAGTCTGAAGTCGTTCAGTAGTTCATTACTCTGTAATCTTCCTTTATTTCTTAGGAAAGCACCATACAACGTATGCTCAGGGAAATAGAAGATTGTACACGGTAAGGTTTAGTTCATATGTTTGTGTTATTTTGGTGCATGCTCGGGCCAAGTTTGTAAGCTGCTAATAATAATAACAGTGACATGTATGTTTTTTGCCATAAAATTAGTACTATACATATAGGTCTGGGTTAAAAAAAAATGCATGTGTTATACAGTATAAACTATGAGTATTCACCCCACAATCAATTATGGAACACAGATAGTATTGAAATTGCAGGCCCCTTCACACTAGCCCATTCACTAAAATTATCCATTTTGGCAGACGAGCTAGTGTTGTGGCAGCTCTGGTCGAGTGTGTTGTATCGCACACTGCCATAGCGGTCACTGTTTAAATTTTTTTTTTAAATGTTTACAATGTGTACACTCCATTCAGGTCCCTGCTGCTGTGTGGCAACCTGCAGTGGCATCACGTTTGTGGTAATAAAGTGCAGCATGTTTGCAATTTAGCGTAGTGCACCGCCCATTACAACTGCATTGTGGTGTGAATGGAACACATGGAAAACAATTGTTTTCTATGTGTCCTTGCAGTGACCTGTGTTGATTCTCTGCAGGACAACCCAGGTCAGCGCAATATGTGTGAATTGGCCCTAATGGTTTATATTGCAGGCTTCCAAGTATCAGAAAACTGTGTCTATTTTTAAGACCTGTAGATGTATCTATCCCCTCTTCAATCCATTGTAATAAACAAGATAATGCAATGACTGTAATTGGCTTTGGATCTGCTCTGCAGGATTTCAGTTATCAACATAACACTCTGCAATTGAGCCCACATAGCAAGCTTTTTCCTTTGTGTGGGTTGGTGGACATTGGATGCAGAGCAGCATTTGTTTTTAAAGTCATTCTTCCTTGGCGCCACTTAGTTCTTTTTTGGGTTTTTTCCTAAAGCTAATATGCTATCTTATTACTTGGCAAAGAGTAAAGTTTCTGCTGTTGTGGAGCTACAAGTTCTAGCATGCCTCGCAACACAAAATGTACTATATAAGGTCAGCAAACTGGCAGGTCATATACTGATATCAGATTGCTGTGGACTGCCTATTACTGTAATTGGCTATAACCTATGCCTTTCTATTATGTGTGAATGTAAAGGTAAATTCAGGAACAGGGTTTCTACCTGGGCATAGTCATCCATCATACAAATCATATTCAGAATATTTATACAGACATACTTACATACGGTAGTTATTTGGAGATGTGCGCTCTGAACTCGGTAAGTGTAAAAGACCCATTGGAAAATTTCTTAATGGGGGTCAGGTATAACATAACTGCATGTACCCCTTTGTCCAGCTGGTTCTCAGAAACAAGTTTTACAGGGTTATTCACAACAGGGTGAAGAGTTTGGAGAAGGCAGGAGAAGTGACCAATCTAGGACAACATAGCTGATTTGGAAAACTTCTCCAATTCAACTCACTTTCCAGTTCAGCTATGTTGTCCTAGATTGTTCTTCTCCTGATTTCTCCAAACTCTTCACCCTTTTGTGAATAGCCCTGTTAGTATTAGCCATTTATGGTTTGATTTTTTGTTCTCTGAACAACTACAAATGCTGGCTCAGAACTAGTCATATTGCTCTGGCTCTCTTTAATCGGAAAAGAGGTCTTCTGTGCTAAATGCCCCTGAGTTTAAAAAAAAAAAATGAATGAACTTAAAGAAGAAATCCAGGAAAAAAAATATTCATCCTTGCAGTGGGGCTACCCCCACACAGTAATGGTTAACTGCTTGTTTTTGTGTAGGTTAAAAAAAAAAAAAGTTATACTCAACTGATGCTCCAAGCTGGCTTGTTTTTTGACAGGACCCTTCCAGCCTCTGTCCCCCTCTTCTGCAGCGACCTAAGATTCTGTAAATCATTACGTTCTATGCACAGTGAATAGATATGAGGAACTGAGGAAGATTCCAATGCTGCAGCAGAGGAGGGGACAGGCTGCGGAGAGCACTGTGACAGCTGGCTGGCTCGGAACTTTGGGTGAGTATAACTGTCATTTTTGTTAACCTAGACAAAAACAAGCAGTTAAACTTTGCAGTGCCGGGGTAGCCGCATTGACAGGGTTAATACGTTTTCCTGGAGTTCTTCTTTCACTATTTTTTAAGGTATTTCTATCACAGCCTTGTTCAGATTTTTACCTCTGAGGAACCCTTGAAATAATTTTTGGGTCCCAGTGAATCCCCACTAGGTACTTTACATTATGGTCAATAGAAGAGGTCCTCCCTTACATTTAGGATCAATGGAAAGAATGCTCCATGACACTGGGGATCAGTGAGAAAACCCTGTTACATTCTATGGGAAGAATGCCTCCTTACATTGGGAGTCTGTGGAAAGATTGTCCTTTACATTGGTGGTCAGAGGGAAGAATGACACCCTTACCCCAACAGGATAGCAGTCAGTGTTATCTGAGCATCAAGAAAAGAGGGTCCACTGGTGCCACACCTTTGACTCTGCTGAATAACATCAGCCTTGGAACTATGCATGCACCATTAGGTGAGAGGTCAGTTTTCTCACTGTTTGAGTAGTGACTGTTCTATACAATGATTACCCCTCCATAGTAAAAATATTTTTCTACAGCTTTGTGTAATTCTCTTTTTTTATTTAGGCAATCTTCCATAACTATCAGCAGCTATGAGCAGGAAATCAGCTGCCTGCGCCGTCAGCTGGATGAGATCAGTGATGAATTGTCTCGCACTGGAAGGGAGAAGGAGACTGTTGTTCAGGAAAATGGTGATCTTCATGACCAACTGTCCGAGAGCAAAGTGGAAATACAGGTAGAAGAGAGATCAGGCTCTAGTTCCTTTACACTCTCCAATACATTCATTTTATTGCATGTCATATTAATATATATATTTTTGTCTTATATAAAAACAACAAAATCATCATAGGTCTACTACGTTGTTGTAGAGAGAGAAAGTACACTGACCTTCCCTAGTTTACTAGTCAAAGCTTATAAATGAGTCTTATATTATGACTATCAATCACAAAGGAGATTGTAAGCAATACTGCATAACGTACAGGGGGAACTGTGTTCACCATCTAGACAGCAGTCCAAGCATATACTCAGAAGACAGGAGTTTGATCTGCATGTAGACACTTATAACTTTGTGAATGTTTTAGAGCAGGGGTGCCCACAATTTTTGGTGTTAAGATCTACTTTTCAAATGCTGGTTGTCAGAGTGACGCCCAGCCCAGTGATTGGACAGGAAAGACAGCGATGAGGTAGTGTGTTTTTTTCCAGGGTAGAGCAAACCCCCCCACCTGCCTGCAGCATTCGGCCGCAGTACCACCGCGGGAGGGACAACAAGCGGACTTGTGATCGTGATCTACCAGCGTTAGCTTTGTGAACGACTGGTAGATTGCAATCGACCTAATGGGCGCCCCTGTTTTAGAGTTTTTCAATATTGGTGCTGAACCTCTGGCGTTTCATGGACGGGATAATAAAAGAGCTTTATGTACTATGTATGCAAACTTATGTACTACTAACTGAGTAAACTCAGGGGATCATCACTGTGAATTTCAGATAAGACCACAGTGACAGTTATACTCTATTTATATTAAACGTTTTGTGTTTTCTAGACAATTACCCATAAACTGAAAGACTCTCAAAATGAACTTCAGGATATGAGGTTAAAACTGCAGGGAGCTAAAACAGATATTTCCCGACTTGAAAGTTCAGTGAATTCCAAAGTAAGTAAATCGCTGTTCTTTTATGTTGCCAATTAGATTATATCCTTATCTTTTAAAGCACTTTGACACTGAGTGATTGAAAAGTAGTCCTTTTTCATTGTGTCCAAACATGGATAAAGGAGGTCAAATCTGCCCCTGAGCACACTGCAATAAATGTAATAAAGAATGCATGCTTTGCCTTGTGGTGTCCTGGAATACATAGAACAGCTGCTTTGGTTGGCCGGTGGAGACACATTGAGAGCCCTTTGAAAATTAATAATCAATGCAGCATGTATCAATGAGCTTTTTAAACTTATTTGTAGAAAAGTTAAAAGTATATTTATGCTTAACAGTATTTCTATGATGCATATGTAGTGTGCATATTATAGTTAGATTTTTGTATTTTAAAGTTAGGACATGGTGAGTGTATGTTGTTTATTTCAGAACAGTGATTCTTTGTGATTACATAGCAGCTCATTACATCCGGCTACAATGAAAGACCCTGAGTAAATTTCCCTTTCTCTAGGTCATTGGTGGATAAGTTAATGTAAACCTTAAAATCCAGCCAGTTCAATAAGGAAGCCAAAAGGCATTTCAAAAGGTGCTACATGGAATTTGTTTTGTTACTACTGTGATTCGGAAGACCTGGCTTATGTAGAGCTGGGAATTTCCTGCTAGCTTGGGGAATTCATTGGCTATTTTTTCTGCAAGCAGAATTCAGCATAAAGAGCACAACATTCTGCATTGCAGTGTATGCTGGCCTCATCATTTGTAGTCATAAAAAGCACTTGGCCTTTACTTAGAAAAATGACAATTTCTGGCATTTACAATAAAACCATTATAATACTGGGGGACAGAAAAGACTTGATTAGTGTCCAGCCTAGACACTAAAACAGTTACTGTTCAACTATCAGCTATAGCTCTCCTTTCTTAATGATTTATCTTTTCAGGAAAAAGAAAGTAGAGACCTTCTTGAAAATTTCCGTAAATCCTCATCACAGGCTGAGATTTGGGAGAATAAGTTTTACCAGCTTGAAAAGGAATTTAATTCTATTAAATTGGACCTTCTTGATGCGGAATCTGAGCGACGGAGATTTAAAGAGAGAGTCGATTCATTAGAATTGGAAGTTGAGCAGGTAAGAAAATATCTTATGGCATTTAGTATATTTTGTTATCCACAATGTACCTTGTTAAACGTATATATTTATTTGCCTCATAAATCTGGAAATCTAGTTCTCATTATGCATTCCTTGTAACTAGCCCACGTTAACAGTTTGCAGAGCTGGACATTCAAGTGGGATGCTCCACAGGATCATTTGTTCATCAGACGGAAGTACATTCAGTCTTGGATTGCGCAGAACTTCATGTTCTAGAAATTTCAGTGGTAAACATCCCTGTAGTTGAAAGCTGGCAGGGGGACTTTCTAGTCAGACATCTGGATTCGGGCGAGTGGTCTCTCCATTCAGAGACATTGGGAGACGCCCAATGTGAATCTTCTAGCTTCTCGCAACAACAAGAAGGTAGACAAATTTATATTTTGTGAGGGATCCAACAGAGGATGCGGTGGATGCCTTGGTAGCTCCGTGGGATCAGTACACCCTGATGTATGCCTTTCCTCCTCTATCAATATTGCCTGCAGTCATTCTCATCATTCCAGATTGGCCTTGCAGGGTGTGGTATGGACACCTGGTTTGGCTTTTGGTAGACGATCCGTGGTCTCTTACAGATCAGTCAGATCTCTTGTCTTAGGGACCAATCTTCCACCCGGTTTCTTGGTTGCTGGCTTTAATGGCCTGCCTGTTGAAACCCAGTTGTTTAAAAGCAGAGGAATTTCCGATTCTGTTATTCAGACTATGCTTAAAGGAGAACAATGGGGTTAGGGCTTTTCCCCATAGTTCTCCTTAGGGTAACGGGAGGACACAAACTAGCGTCCTCCCATCACCCTAAGCTCAGTATACCATGAGCTCCAGCTCGTGGTATACTGAGACGCCGCAGCTGAAGTGGATCCCAACAATTATTTCTGGATCCGCCCAGCTGTGTGAGTGACAGCTGGCTCTGCCTATCTAGAGGCAGAGCCAGCTGTACCCGCCCCCTCCCTCGTCTGTTCCGCCAGTCAGCACTGGAGGATCGGGGAGGGATGGAATCCAGTCCCTCCCCTGTCATGGCAGAGAGCCATGACAGGATCGAGAAGTGAGCGAACGCCGCTATGTGTTCGCTCACTTCCCGATCTACTGAGCCGACCTGTCACAGTCTCATTGTCACAGGTCGGGTAGAACTATGAGGATGAGTGAAAAGCACTCACCTCATAGTTCTCCTTTAAGGCTCGTAGGTTGTCCACTTATAAAATCTATTATTGTACGGGGAACGCTTATTTTTGTTGTTGTGAATCCTTGGGGTTTTCTCTGATTTTTTTCTATATTGCGTATTTTGTCTTTCCTTCAACTGGGAGTTGATCAACGCTTAGCTGTCAGTACCATCAAGGGTCAGATATCTGCATTGTCTGTCCTTTTTCAATGTCCTCTTGCATCTAATTCCTTTATTCATACTTTCATTTAAGGAGTTGCATACGTTGTTCCTCCTACTAGATCTCCTCTTCCTCTGTGAGATTTTAACTTATCTTGAACTTTATCTGTTCTACACAAGCCTGTTTTCGAACCTGTTCGAGATATTTCTTTGTCTTTGTTGTCCAAAAAGGTTGCCTTTTTGGTGGCCATTACCTCAGCTTGAAGGGTTTTCAAGTTGTCTGCTCTTGTAGAGAACCCAATGGTTCTTCATAAGGACAAGGTTGTTTTCAGATCGAAGGTTTCCCAAGGTGGTTTCGGCCTGTCATTTAAATGAAGACATTATTTTCTCTTCACTTTGTCCAGCTCCTGTTCATCCTAAGGAAATGTCTCCTCATTGTTATGGATGTTGTGCGTGCTGTTAGAGTTTATTTGGCAGCCACAGCATCCTTTACACTTTCAGATTTTTTTTTATTATACCTGAAGGTCTTAGAAAAGGTTGTTCAACTTCTAGATCCACTGTTTCTAAGTAGATTATTCAGGTAGTCATTCAAGCTTACGTCTTGCAGGACAAGGCACCTTCTTTCTGCTCATTCTGATAGGGTAATTAGTACTTTTTGGCATTTCAAAATCAGGCTTCTGTAGCCCAAATTTGCAAGGTCGCAACATGGTCTCCTGTTCACACTTTTGCAAAGTTTTATAGAGTTGATGTTTCTGCCTCCTCTGATGCTAGTTGTCAAGGTACCGTGCACGGATGTCCTCACACCGCATGCAGGTACCCACACTGGAAGACCAAACGCTTATGACCACACTAAACAAGGTCAATGAGTTGTATACACTTTATTGTAACCAACAATGCAAGCAAGCAAGGTAAACCTAGGGAGCAGGGCAAGAGGACTCTGTAGAGACGCCCAATCGCTTGTAGTTGTGTGCGGGTGTGCGCCTCCGCCGCAGCCGGTGATGGCGATCCCGGGCTCTGCTGCTCCCGGTGTGAGCCCGGGACCAGCACAGCAGCTCTGCGGCCGGAGATCAAACGGAGCTCAGTACACGAGCTCCGTTTGATCTCCTCTTCGGAATGCAGGCAGTGATGTGTATTACATCACTTCCTTCATTCAGTGTCACTCTCCGGTACAGAAACCGGAGAGAAGCTGGTGAAGCAGGTCTCTGCTTCATCAGCTTCTCTAGGGGTCCCTAGGTGACATTAGGGGTCTTAAAGACCCCTGATGTCTCCATAAAGAGGACCTGTCACTGCAAATTGGCTATCACATAGGGAGCTTGTTTGCTCCCTATGTGATAGCAATAAAGTTAAGTGAAAAAAATTAAAGTTACAAAAAAAATGTAAAAATTTTAAGTCACATATCAAAGCAATAAAAAAAATTAAAGTCTCCCGCCCGCATTTACAGCGTTGCATGACGGAATGAATGTCCGTCAAAGTACTGCAGTGCTGAATACTGAAAAATGGCCTTGACAGGAAGGTGGTATAAACACCCTGGTCAGCAAGTGGTTAAAGGAGAACTGTGGGGTACACATTTTTTTGCATTTTTAGTTTCCTTTTGATACATGAATACATTTTACAATGTACTCCTGTAATCAAAAATGCACCATAAGCTTACAATTCAGTGTAATATACTGTGGGTGGGGCCAAGCTCTGTGCTGAGGGCATATCCTATTAGAGTTTATTCATGTCAAGTCACAGGTCTACGACTACTAGCACATCTATCCTGTAGTTTGTTCTTCATCCCCTCCTCTCTCCACAGTGCTGTCTCCAGACAATATATATACCACATCAGCACTGAGACCGTCAGTTTGGCTCCCCATTGCCCTCCTCACCTCTGCTGTCTTGGGACATACACAGGCAGAAGAAGACAGCAGGACAGAGCTGAACTGACAGTCTTAGTGCCGATGTGTTATGTGTATTACCTGGAGAGCAGTGTGGAGTAGAGAGGGGAGGGGGGAATGAAAGACAAACTGCGGGATGGATGTGCATCTATTAACTCTGGACAGAATGTGTCCTGAGCATCTGCACAGGTTCTCATGAACGTGCAGCAGCTCCTACAAGCTGCTGTCACTAAATGGGAGAGGAGGATCCCTACAATATTGTCGGAATCGTTTCTCAGCACAGAGCTTAGCCCTAACCACAGTATATTACATTGAATTTTAAGCTTATGGTGCATTTCCGATTACAGGAGTACATTGCAAAATGTACTCCTGTATCATAAGAAGACACAAAATGCAAAAAAAGGTATACCCCATAGTTTTCCTTTAAGTACCTTCACAGTCAAACTGTAAATTATAATTACCCTTCCAGAGAATACTAGCATGATTTTTAACAAGAGCACTAGACATTTATAACTTACAGTTTGCTACTTAAAATCAGCAGTGCCTGTCACAAATATAGTCCAAATGCAATTTAAGTGTTTTTTCTTCATCAGCATATTGCCTCTGAGCAGTCCTACAAATCTCAAATCAGCAACGTGACGAAATCAACAACAAGGATGGAGGAAGAGCTGCGACAGGTCAAAGCAGAAAAGTCTTCAGCCCTCAGTGACCTGGCCACCACACGGGAACTTTGTGTTAAATTAGATTCTGGGAAAGAGTTGATAAATCGCCAATTCTATGCCAGGACCCAAGATGTGGAGAGGGTATGTTACCATGGATTCTTCTATAAGGTTATCTGATAAAAAGTTAGCTGTGCGTCTGAAAAAATATTGCCATTTTGGTTCTGATGATCTGAAATTTGTAGGTTACATTTCTGTGTTTGCTACTTATGTGAGTAGTTCACATTTAAGCACTGCATAGTTATTACATTTAAAAAAAATAATACTATCTGGCTGGTGGCTTGACACACACTAAAAAATGTTAGTTACTTGGTGCACACTAAAAAAATTCCTTGGCAACTAAATTTATTTAGTTGCTGAGGAAATTCTTTTTTTACATCGTGCTGCTGGCTGGCGGCTAGATTCCGCGGTCGGCAGCAGAATGTAAACAATTGAGAGCAATGGCTAGTCTGCTATTGGCTATTTCAAATTGCAATAGTCAATAGCAGATGGCTATTATACCCACCCACTGAGCAGAGGATCGGACCTGAAAGAGAACTTTCTCTCTTAGGTCCGTTTCTCTGCTCAGTGGGTGGGGTTTCAATAGCCAGCCTGCTATTGGCTAATGCAATTTTAGTAGCCAGTCTGCTATTAGCGTGGCGGGGCCACTTGGAGGTGGTTGCTTGAGAGTTACTATTAACTCTCAAGCAATCAGAAACTCCAGTTTCCCCATGGGTGCCGAATACTGTACATGCATTTGTTTTAATGCACATTAAGCAGGGCCTTTTAAATAAATGTTAATGTATGTGTTAGTAAATAAGTTCTATATGTGCATAGATATTAGGACTCTAACACTCATAATTAAATATTTCTGCTTTTTAATTAACCCGTGTATGAAAATAATGTGTTAATAAGCTTATCTACAACAAATGACCCAAAATTTCTTCTCATGTTGTATATGGGCATTTTATTGCAGACCTACAATATTAAAATTCACAGTTGTTATGAATCAATAAGGCACATATCAGCATTACCAAATCACATTATTTCTTTAAGTGAAAAAGTACCTCTTTCTTTCCATCTCCTAGACAGCAGCCAGGCGGCAGCCAAGGTTGCAAGGTTTCTGTCTGTTACTACAAATAGTCTATTGTTTGAAGTTAGCTGCTCTAATGTATAAGCAATACATACAGTATATAATTATAAGCTTTACATAGAAACAAGCAGGAATAAGATTGCAGCAAACAAAATCAGAGTGAAGTTAAAACTCTTCGTCTGCATGCTTGTTCCAGGTCACTGACTCAAAAATATTGGCGGTAAAGTCCTGTCAATTATCACAGCCAGATCTAAGACTGCTTTTTGGTAAACGGCAATTATGCACCAAATTATGGTCCTTCAACGTACCTATCCTCTGAATGGACAATGAAAGAGCAGCAGCAAACTAATCAGGTCATTGCTCTATTCCCCCATTCAGTCAGCATGCAGCATGTTAATATAGCTCTGTGCAAAGCAACAGAGCCCTAAATGGTGCAGAGTGCTACCCTGCCCTATCCCAGTTTAAATGCTTACAAAAGATTACAAGAATTCAAAGGTAAAGACATATCCAAGTACCTACATTAGTTGTTGGTAAGAATGCATTTTAAAATAATGCATAAGTGCACTAAATGGGGTTCTGCCGTAGGTTGATCTGCCTGGCTCTTGTATCTAATATCTAAGAAAATTGTTCCCCTTTAACAGACCTCTAAATAAAATCTAGTGCTTCCTGCACATGCACAATTTGTACTCTGTAATCTATTGTTTATGTAGGAAAATTAACAGAGCAGGCAAATATGCAAAACACTTACAAGAGATGCTTGATAAAAAAAAGCAATCGCACAACTATTAACTGTTTGCCTATTTACACAGTGGTTTACAAGTAAAAAAAAATGTATCTGTGAAGTTCCATTATCTCATGATAGTTACATGAAAAGCTATGATCAGCAAATAATTGATTGCCAGAAAAAAACACAGGTTAAAGTTACACTTGTTGCCTTCTTAATGTGATATGTTCGCTTTCAGTGCCAGGAGATTATCACTGGCAGTTTTTGGCCTAGAAAGCAATGCTCTAGCCTAAGGCCGCCCTCGCACTAGCCTTCCCTGTAACCCTAACACAAACTGCCACTTACAGTCCAAATGAACTTTTAGTGTAAATTAACTGTATAAATTCAATGTGTATGGAAACAAAAGGTGTGCAAAGTCTTACAGATTGTTTTCTTTAAGAAGCAGCCACAGTCTATGTAGAAAAGACTGTCCCCTGCCTGCATGTTTCTTCTCTGTGGGGAAAGAGTGATCTCTCTGCAGAGATCTGACACGCCACCCGCTGAGACAGAGCCAGAGCTCTCCAATCAGCAGGCAGCATTGGTTTTGCTGAACACAGAGCTATAGGTCTGTCTCACAAGGGGGCGTGTCGTACCTCTGCACTGCTTTCCTACAGAGATCGGTGGTCCCACTCTGCAGCTGCTGGCAGGGGACAGGCTTTTCCACTTGGACTGTGCCGCTTTAAGGTGCCCATACACCATGCAATCATCGGACGAAAATTTTTGTCCAATGATCGAACCGTCATATGGTTTTCGTACGGCGGCTCCATCTTGCCCCGACCATCGCACAGTTCAATTAGCGGCCTTTAGCAGAAATCACCTGGACGAATTTTGTTAATTGACCGCACGGATTTTCGTTTGCGTGTGATCAGTGTTAATGGTGCGATTTTTTTCCGTACGAAAACGCCATCAACCTATCGGATTTTATACGATTCGACAGACGTTTTCTAGCCTGCTGGAAAGACTAAAGTCGTACGATTGTACAGTATTTGCGGTTGTACACTGCCCATCAAGCTTACAAATATCGGATGCAAACTCGATCACAAACGAAAATCGGCCGAAATTCATAAGGTGTATGGGCACCTTCAGAAAGAAAACAAACTGTAAGCTATTGAACACTTTTTTTTTTTATGCACCAGGAACAAATTTAGTTGATTTAAACTGAAGGTTCAGTTGGGCTTTACAGCAGAACTTACAGCAGGTCTTCCTCGTTGCAGACTCTACACTGCTCACTGAGCATGCGCAGCTCAGTGTACAATCCTGGCATATGTAAGGAGGAATTAACTTCTGTACACATGGGCAGGAGTTGTGTCATCCTGGCCAGTTCATTCAAGATGGCTGAAGATCAATAAGCTGGCAAGAAGATATTGGTGCTGGCAAGGGAGCTAGCTGATGTCGCGTCACTGGAGCAGAGGTGAGTATAGTAAGTCAATGTATCTCTTTGTTGGCATACTGACCTTTCCTGTGCCGAGATCATGTATGCCAAAGACTAATCTTCCTTTGCTGAAAGATACCAGCACCAGGATCTGCTTTGTTTTAAAAGTTTTATTTTTGTATTTTTAGGATAGCTAGTTGTGTTATGGTGAGATAGACCTAAGGGAAGTGATAAGCCCTTTTTCTAAAGTACTGCCAAGTGAAGAAGGTATTTACATGTCATCATTTCCAATGCAAATGCAAAAAACAGGGAGTTTAATGCTCAAATTAGGATAGTAGATGGAGTCTTGCAAATAATTTCCTTGTGGCAACCCAGTCCTGCTGCTGTGTAGTACAGCTACAGCCTAAATATACAGTCATTTATTACCATTTGCATAGGCTGTAACAGAATGCGTTACAGACAGTGGATAGCTATAGTGGGCCTGGCCTGAGGCAGGGCAGAAGTCTTTCCTATAATGACAAGACAGCTGCCTGTCTGCAGTTACATCGGGACCTGCTGCTGTATGCACGTGACACTCCATGAACTGAAACAGTAGATGTGTGGTGTATTATGTCTTTCAGCCATATATCAACAGGTTGCAAAGTCGATAAAAGCAAGCTGTGTAAGAAGTACAATTATTGTCAGAATACTGGATCAGGGGTACTTTGGGTCAGTACTGTACAGTAGAGTCACAAATGACTCTATTGCCAAACTGAGTAATTACAAGGCTAACAATAAATAAAGAATTACCAAAAAAGGCACTTTTCTGTGCTAAACTTGATGATAGTGTATTGAGTTAAATATTGCAGTGTGCATTGGACATGGGCTATTTTACATAGCCAAGCAGGATAAATGACACACAACAAAACGTGCTGGAAATGTAACATTTCAGTAGGTGAAAGGAATAGATGTACAAGGATATAATGATCTTTTTCTCACTTGCTTTTACAGTTACAACATGAATTGGATTCATCTTGCTCTAAAACAGAACTCCTAAGAAAGCAACTTGCCAGTGAAAGAATCACTGTTAAGAACTTGGAGGCTTTTCTGGTCTCCAACCAAGAGAAAGAATTTCAGTTCCAAGTACGGGTCCAGGACCTGGAGTCAGAGCTGCAGCTGCTTGGAGATAGGTTGATGCTGGCAGAAAGTAAGCTGTAAGTAAACACGCAACCTTATTACACAATGAGACTGATTTCTTTTAAACCTGCAGAAGAGAAAATGAGCCCACAACTGAGATACTACAAGTCACTTTTCCCTCTTTATGTTATAGAATATAAAATAATAATGTTGATTTGACACTATGGGCAGCAATCCCTTTTTTTATTCACTTTCTTTCTCTAGTTTGAATAAAATTGTACCAGTGTATTTGTAAAGATTCCCTGTGTTTAGACTTTATTCACTAAATATCAGTAAATTGAGCCCCTTCCATGCAAAAAAAATTTTCCCATGGATCATTTCCTAATTTTGCATGCACTTCAGCATTTTGGGGGTGCTTTCAATCTGTCTATGGATAGCAAATGATTGCAGCAGTGGACATCAAGAAGCAAGTGCTGGGAAAATGCATGAATGGCATCTAATTCCAAATTTCTCTGTCAAGTAAGCACTGATAGGACATTCACTGCCTGTAGGGAGCTTGTCTGACATGCCCTGAACGGGAGATTTTGTTATATGTGCGCGCTTGTATCTATGTCTATAAACATAAAACAAACGACACTGTAAGATGTGCCAGCTGTATGTTCATACATATGATAATGGGATGAGGACAGTAGGAGCCACTATGTTATGTACCACATGGTTCAGGACTTGAAGATTTTAGGAGGTGGGAAAGAGTCTATGTGTGGAAATTTGGTTTCCTCTATCGTCCATTGAGGGACACATCTTTGAGTTAGCAACCTACATTTATACCGTCCCCTACAGGCATGGTTTGGGCTTGGTTCTCATCGATCCAAACAATCTCATTATCCTCTATTTTACAAAGATTGGAAACACCCCAAGAAACAATTTCTTACCTCTAAACCAATCCTAGCACTTTCCCTTTGTGGATAATTTTGACCAGAAATGGTCTACTCCTGTAGTTGACCCGCCTATCTCTCGTCTTAATAAAGCCTTGACTATCCCTATAGAAGATGCTCCTTCCTTTAAGGACCCTATTATCAAAAAGCTAGCAGTTTCTCGATGCATTTTTGCCTTGGTGGGCTCTGCCCTTCAGCTATGCTCGTCTCTGCTCTCTTATCTCAGAGCTTGGCTGACTGGTCAAAATCTCTTAGTAGGGGTTTGGCAGCTGCTGACATTGATACTCAACTTATTGACTGCGTGAACCAGATGATTGTCCCATTAAACTTTCTGTGTGATGCAGCGCTGGACGCTAGCAGATTTATATCTCTGGCAACCCTTTCTTCTGTACAGATTTGCAGGGCGATCTGGCTTAGGTGCTGGTCAGCACAGGAACCGTGTAAAGCTGGCCATACAACTATAGAGTATCTGCAGATTTTCTGTGGTCTGATGGAAAAAGTGCAACTGATTCCTCCATCTATGCTAAACTGTGTGGATGGAGGAACCTCCCACTGGGCCAAGCTGAAGTATCTTGCTAGTCGGCCCGTTTGGCTCTCAAAATACCTGTACATTCTGATTGGATGCAAGCATTGTTCAGGTATGTTGAGAGCCAGGGGGGCCGTCTAGCAAGATATTGAAGCTTGGCCCAGTGGGAGATTCCTCCATCCACACAGTTTAGCATAGTTGGAGGAATCTCTTGCACTTTTTCCATCTGATCATAGAAAATCTGCAGATAATCTATAGGTGTATGGCCAGCTTTAGACAGCTTTGTTACAACTACCCTTCCTGAAAGACCATCTGTTTTCACTTTGCATCTTCTCGTGTCTCAGCAGCGATGGACAGACCTTCGTTCAGCCATTCAGGGACTGTTAAACCAGAGGGTTATCATTCCTGTTCTTCCAGCTAAAAAATGTTAAAGGAGAACTATGAGGTGAGTGATTTTCACTCATCCTCATAGTTCGAGCCGACGTGTGACAATAAAACTGTCACACGTCGGCTCAATAGATCGGGAAGTGAGCAAACACATACCGTCGCTCGCTCACTTCTCGATCCTGTCCCTGCAGAGAGCCGTGACTGTCACTCACGGCTCCCTGCAGGGATTCCCCCTGTCCAATCCTCCAGTGCTGACTGGAGGAACGGACGGGGGAGGGGGCGGGTACAGCTGGCTCTGCCTCTAGATCGGTAGAGCCAGCTGTCAATCACGCAGCTGGGTGGATCTCGACAGTAATGTTGGGATCCGTCCCGGCTGCGGTGGTCTCAGTATACCGCGAGCTGTAGCTCGCGGTATACTGAGCTTTGGGTCACGGGGGGGCGCTAGTTTATGTCCTCCCGTGACCCTGAGGAGAAGTATGAGGAAAAGCACTGACCCCATAGTTCTCCTTTAAGGTTTTTATTCAAACCTGTTCACAGTTTCAAAACCTAAGGGAGGTATTTATCCTTTCTACTAAATCTTGTATTGTTGGTGCTAAAAATCGTCCAAAAAACAAAAAGCCTATTTTTTGCTTTGCAAAGAGATAGCAAAGATTTTCCAAATGATGTACAAGATACACGCAAGATACATGTTGAGTTAAATATGTCCTGGATGTGCTCAGCTTGTTCTGTATAGTTTATTGTTTGCATAGATTAAATGTTAACGGATAGACCTGTGTGCAAGACATTGTAATTAGAAATGTGATGACTAAGGAGTTTAATCTGGATTAACCTTTTCACTATTTACACAGTGGGTATACAAGGAATTCATTTATCAGGTTCTACTGTCACATTTCTAGTTTCAGGAATATTATGGTAGGGAGATACAGTACATGCTTGCCAGAAATAATTCACCTTGAGATCACTTGGTGTGTCAGGGAAAATAATGAGCCTTGTTTTGCAATGCAGCCGGTTAAGGTTAAACCTTTAGGCTGGCCATAAATACATTGTATTTAAGGCCTTCTACACACACAGGTTTCAGCTTATATTAGAATAGTATATACAGCAATGTTTACAAAGCCTTCATTTTGGCTTTGTTAAAAATATATTTTCATTGGAGTGCTGGCTGTTACTTGACTCAAGCTGAAGGGGCTGCAGCAGGCTTTCAGGAAGTTTTGAATGATGCTGAAGCTTCTGAACCGTTGCAATGATAGAGGACCAATGTTGGCTAAAAACCCATCTGTTACACTTACCTGTGTCACTACACTAGATGCTGTGCCCCACTGTGTCTCCAGAGATCTTTTTTGGTTCCTGTGAATCTTTGTGTACTCCTCCTGAGATTCCTTGCATACTCCTGAGTGCCCTGTGTACTCCAACTGAGCTCTCAGCATTTATGTACTGTGCTCCCAGAGACTCTTGCACTCCTGCCTCCCTCTGATTCCAGCACCACAATCCAGAAACTTCACTTCTGTGTTCCTGTGATCCCAGCACCCCGGTGCTCCTGAGACTTTGACTCCTGTATTTCTGTGATCCTATTGCTCCAGAGTCTCTCATTCTGGCGTTCCTGTTACCCCAGTGCTCCCAGAGGCTTTTGGACACAGTGATACTGTTGCACCCTTCACTCCTGAGTACCAGTGATTCCAGCTTAGTTGCTGCCTGCTCAGAGGAGTCAGAAGGCCACAACCTGGGAGACGACCTGCAGTAAAAACCATCACCCCTTACTGGGTGCTCTGGCGAATACCAGGCAGCTTCTCTTTGTCTCCACAAGTACTTATGTTTTACTAGGTTTCTAGATTGTCATCTGTCACTCTGTGGCCAAGCTTCCAGTGTCCCTCAGTGCCATATCCATACCGCCCCAGTTACAGTCTCCTGATTCGTGGTTAGCCCTGTTTCTAGTGCATACAGACTTCTGTCCAAGACAACATCAATTAGGTTTGAGTTATAGGGGGTGATTTACTAACCTAAACACACACACACACCAGGTGTGTGTGATTTTCACACAGCAAAACGTATTTATCAACCAAAAAGTCTCTAAAAGCATATTTCCACTAATGCCATATATGGAAAAATCATGCACATGATGCATATATAATGCTGCTTCACAGTTTAGACAAAAATGGCTAGCTCATGCATTTACATTCCTTGCATTCATCAACGCAAGCAACACAACATAGAGCTAATTTACCCAACATCACCTTGGAATTCATTCAGGGCTTTGCACAACACACCTGCTGGGTGTGTACACATTACAAAGGTGTTTAGATTCCACCCATAGATCATGCTGGGAGGGAACACACTGCAGAGGTGTATACACATTCGTGGTGTGTTTATAAGGTTAGTAAATCAACCCCATAGTCTTTTTAATGTGTTTTAAGATTTTTGGCAATCAACTTTGAATCTGCTGTTTCGGGCTTCCTCATGCCTCGTAAGCTCTTTCTGCTGACATGACATGATGAATGCCTTGGCAGTGTGTCAGGTCAGAAGAAGAAAGCCAAAGCAGCAGTTTCTTCTAGAAGGGTAATTGTTTAAAGGAGAACTATGGGGTCAGTGTTTTTCCCCATAGTTCTCCTCAGGGTAACGGGAGGACACAAACTAGCGTCCTCCCGTTACCCTAAGCTCAGTATACCGCGAGCTACAGCTTGCGGTATACTGAGACGCCGGAGCGGATCCCGACCTGGATGTCGGGATCCGCCCAGCTGCGTGAGTGACAGCTGGCTCTGCCTATCCTCCCCCGTCCGTACCCGCCCCCTCCCCCGTCCGTTCTGCCAGTCAGCGCTGGCAGATCGGAGCGGGGAGAGGGGAATCAGCCCAATATGTGTTCTCTCACCTCCCGATCTACTGAGCCGACCTGTGACAGTCTCATTGTCACAGGTCGGCTAGAACTATGAGGTGAGTGGAAATCACTCATCTCATAGTTCTCCTTTAAGCACCTCTTTTGCCACTTATATGCTGGAATAGGGTGTCCAGGTTGTGTTGGGGGGTGTTATCATAGCATACGTCAACTTATAATTTGAGAAAATCGATAAATTGTTTGATAAATTGTTTAAAACGGGAACAGTTAAGACACACTCCCACCAAATATGTTGACAAAAATCATTGCTGATTTTTCCAGTGCAACCCCGACCCTTGATCTCCATTGCCACTCCCTCACTACCACATAAATGAGGGTCAGAGAACTACTGCAATGTTGTCATTACTATAGTAGTGATATTGGGCATGATGGCCCTTTACCAGGAGAAGCAGTGAAAAGAAGTGGAGGGATCTGAAGAAATTCTGCAATTCTCAGAAGTAAATATTGCATACATTTTAACGCATAGAATACTATGTCAATGCACTTTAGCTGTGAATGCTGTATGAACTGGCATCTACTTACAGATGACAGACTTCATTTTTATGTTGCAAATGAATGGGTCATCAGTTAGAACTTTCAGATGCTATCAAATATATGCTAATCAAATGTAATATGTTCATTATTCCTGTGCATAATACTGAAAACTATCAGAGAAAGCAGTATATTGGTATTTAAAAAATGGTCTTAATGCTCTATAAGGCTGTGTACCTATTTTGCTTATTAAAGTATTAGCAACCAAAGTATAATTCCTTGAAATCATGCTGATGATGTCACATTTCTTTTCAGAGGAACTTATAACCGAGAAGCAGGACAACTGAAAAACAAGATAGCTCAACAAGAAGCTGATCTGGACATCACCAGAAGACAGCTAACCACAGAACGCTTTGAAAGGCAAGTGTATGTGTACATGCAGTTTATTTATATCATTTATTCTGTCCAATCCCAGAATTTTAACTATACATAGAGGTAGGGATGCACCGATATATCGGCCGCCGAAACCTATCGGCCGAAAATTGCACTTTTGGCATAATACCGAAAGTGCCATTTTCTGACCGATACAGCGCTGCATCTTTGTATTCTCTCCTCCCAGCTGGGCGCTGCTCTGTGTCTCAGTGGGGAGGAGAGAAAGTGACAGCCAGCCGAGCGCTACGGGAGGAGAGCGCTGTGAGCAGCCGGTGTCTTCACTCCCACACTGCTTAGCCTCCTATCACAGTCCGGCAGAGCGGTGTGTGGGCGGAGACAGCCCACGCTTTCACAGGAGGCTGAGCTCTCCTCCCTGCACCGCTCGTTCAGCCTCTGGTGACAGCGAGTCAGTTTTGTATATAATTGAGGAAATTGTATGTTTACTATATCCTCAATTATGAATGAATGGGAAGTGATCTACATCACCTCCTGTTCATTCATGATTGTGGTTATAGTAAACATACTATGTTCTCATGTTATCAATGAACATGAACTCTCATAGAGGATTCCTGTTCATTTATACCAGGGGCTGCACAAAAAGACATTGTGTCCCCCAATCTCTTTTTCTATTTTAAAAGGGAAATATCAGAGGTCTGTTTAGACCCCTAATATTTCCCTGTAGACCCTAAAAGTAAAGTAAAAAAATTAACCACTTAAAGGCCATAGTGTTTCACCCCCTTCCTGGCCAGGCCATTTTTCAGTATTCAGTGCTGCGGTACTTTGACTGATGTTTATTCTGTCATGCAACACTTTACTGAAACGATTTTCATACCATTTTTTGGGGACAGATAGAGCTTTCTTTTGGTGGCTTTTATTCACCAATGGGGTTTTTATTTTTTACTATATAACAAAAAAAGTACCATAAATTTTGAAAAAAAACATGTTTCCCTATAAAATTTTATTAAACATTTATTTTTACCCCAATTTTTTGGTACAATATAAAAGACGGGGTCACGTCGGGTAAATAGACACTAAACATGTCAACCTTTAAAATTGCGCACGCCCGCGAAATCGCAGAAAACGGCCACAGCCAAAATTGGCCATAGGCGACGCTTTAAACGCTTTTACCGCTCATCAGTTTAGTGTTATCAGTGATTGATGGCCCCAGAATTATTGTTCTCACTGCGACGTTCGCGGCGATATGAAACATGTGCTGCATAATGGGCGCAATCGTCGGTTTCGTACATAGGCACATGTACGCATGTGTATGTGGGAGGCGGGGGACTTTAAAAAAAAATTTGTGTTATTTTTTTTAATTTTTTTTAGCTTCTTTATTTTTTTTAATGCTGTAATTTTAATTTTTTTTTTCAGGACGTCTTAAGATGCCCACCCGCTCTGAGCAGACTTCCGTCCGGCCGTTCACAAACGGCCATGGACGGAAGGTGGTTAAAATATTAAATTTTAAAAAATTAAAAAGTTTATAAAAAGTTTTTTTTTTAAATTTTGAAAAAGTGTTAAAATTAAAAAAAATTCGGTTTCGGCCTGACATTTTTTTTTACATTTTGGTTTCCTTTCGGTTTTGAAATTTGCATTTCGATGCACCTCTACATAGAAGTTGTCAGGGACCAGAGCGCCTCCAGGTGGCACTGTGGAGCTGGAACCTGATCCTGCAGTTCCAGTGCTCACCTGTAGGTGTCTCCCAGCAATTAGGCACCACCTGGTGCTGATCTGGGAGGCTATTTAACCTCTCCCTGCAGTGAGGCCTGTGCTTCAGTATTGTTGCCATAGCCCTATCCTGTTGGCCTGTATCTTGTTCCTGTTGCCTGAATCCTGTTCCTGTCTTGTACCTTGACTTGGACCTGACTCCAGACCCTTACCCCTGAGGTCTCTTGATCAGTGGCTCCCTCCTTGTTGTCCTGCTCCCCAGGGGTTGCTGTGTTGTCTCCGGGGTGTAATTGTTACTTATATTTTTACATGTCACTTGCGGGTGGTGGTGGGGGTGTTTATGGTTGTGATGTTTTAGTGCAGCTAATAAATTATAGTTTGTAAGCATTTGTGGTCACGTATTGGTTCTCTTGTATAGATACTTGCACGTGGTGTGGGGACACCCGTGGATGGTATCGTGACAGAAGTTCTGTTACTAACTGGTAAAAACTCAGAGAGGCAAACATGGAGCATAACCCTACTGATAAAGCTATAGCAAAATTGGACAATTTTTTCTGCTGTGCTATTTAAAGGTACATTGCCTGTTTTATTAAATTTACTCCCAAGCTAAGGGAAATCTGCGCTGGAACATCTGACGATATACCCGCTCTGGTCTCTTTATCTTCTATCTGTAAGGTTGAAATTACCAAAGGGAAAGATTGTGCTGTTTCTGCTTTGTCTAAAACCAATAAATCTTTATCAGTAGCTGCTTCTGCACTGCTTCATTGTCTGTTGATTCTTCTTCCTCTTTTCACAAAAAGTGATTTTTTCTGTAGTTATGGAGGTTTTTTTTTTCTATCACGGATAGATAACAATTGTTACTTATTCTCCTAACAAGGATAAGAAATGTCGGATATTTCCAGTGCAGAAGATTCTTTATCTGATGATAATTCCTTATGGTCCTTGGAGGGGGTTGTTACAAAATAGCATTTTAAATGTTTTCCTCCTCCGGGATTCTTTGCCTTTCGCCTTATGTCACGATGTCACCACAGAGTTGGGCGGATCTTTCAGCGGTCCAGGGATTATTAGCTTAGGGAGTTATCGTTCTAGTTCCTTTAACAGAACGTTTTCTAGGTTTTTACCCAAACCTGTTTACTATTCCATCCTGGATTTAAAAGCTCTCAACGCTTCAAATGCTCAATCTCAAAATTTTTAATGGAATCTGCTCATTTAGTTATTGTCTCCCTTCGTCTAGGTAATTTCTGGGTTTTCTATTGACATCAAGGATGCATATTTACAGGTTCCTATCTTTCTGCGTGATCAATGTTTTCTTTGCTTTCCTGTATTCAAATTCCATTATCACTTTGTGGCCCTTACCTCTGGTCTTGCCTTGACTCCAAGGGTTTTCACCAAGGTCCTTGCCACAATTCTGTTAGCCAAAAAGAACATTCAGATTTTTCAATACTTAGCCGATTTTTTTTTGCTTCATGAATGGTCTTCTCTGACTTTGGAAACCAATGTGTCCACAGTACTGAGAACCTTACATGACTTTGGATGAAATCGTCCCTGAATCCATTGCATCCAATGCAAGTACTTGGGTCTTCTTTTCGATGCATCCCTGAACAATATTTTTCTTCCCCAGGACAATTCAACCAAGTTGGAGAGTCAAATGCTTCACTCTCATCGACTACCATTCATGCAATGATGCATGCGAGTTCTGGGCATAATGGTATCCACCTTTGAGGTATCCACTTTAAGGTTGTTTTAAGACCGAAGGTTTCCTTTTTTCCCAAGGTGGTTTCGGCTTTTCATTTAAGTGAAGACTTTGTTTTACCTTTGCTTTGTCTGGCTCCTGTTCATCCTAAGGAAATTTCTCTTAATTGCTTGAATGTTGTGCGGGCTATCAGAGTTTATCTTTCAGCCACAGCTTCCTTTAGACATATGGGTTACCAGAAGGTCCTAGAAAGACTGTTCAGCTTCTTGATCCACTAAGTGGATTTGTAAGGTTGTTATTTCGCTTATGAGTTGAGTGAACAAATACCTCCCTTTCCTATTTCTTCTCATTCTACTAGAGCCATTAGTGCTTCTCTGCCTTTCTTAATCAGGCTGCAACATGGTCTCCTGTTCACACTTTTGCTAAGTTTAATAGAGTTGATGTTTCTGCCTCCTCTGAAGCTAGTTTTGGCAGAAAAGTTCTTCAGGCGGCTGTTTGAGTATTTTTTTGACAGTTATTTTTTTGTTGAGCTGTTTCTTCTAGTTGTCATGGTACCTGCTCCTCTGTTTGGACTGCTTTTGCATGTCCCTGTGTCTCAGAATTCTTCAGAGATGTGTTCCTTAATGGATGATGGACAAAATAGGATTTTGTTCTTACTGTAAAATCCTTTGAGGGACACACCTCCTTCCCCTCATTTCCTTTTGTACTGCTTTGCAACAACTGGCAGGTGTGAAGTGGGAGGGGTTATGGTCTTAAAGTGGCAGGCTTGTACTTTTTTGCCTAGTGTTCATTTCTCCTGCAGGCAGCAGCATAATCCTACATCTCAGAATTCTTCAGAGCTGTGTCTCCCAATGGACTCCGAGAAAAGGATTTTACGGGAAGAACAAAATCTATTTTTTTTAAATGGTGCTGTTTGCTTTTTTTATCCATTAGTGTTTGGGAAGACTATTTTCTTTTCTTTTTCATATAGTGTGCTGTTTGCTATTCTAAATTGTAATTATTGAAAGTTGATTATTTTATTTGTATAGGGAGCTTGCAGTCAAAGAGCTACGTCGTCAAAGCTTCCAGACATCGTCATCTTTTAGGCAGTCTCCAAGTCCTCCTAGGATTTCACCTGAAAGGCCATTCCGATCTCCAGAGCGCCACTCTAGGTCTCCAGATAAAACACTGGATAGGTAAATGTCTTATGTTAAAGGAAGAGAATGCCTAATTTGTATTAGATTGCATCTGACCCTTTCAAAATTAACACAGAGCGGAGTTCAGTGGGTTTGTTTATATACGATAAAACATTACTAAATTGTACCAATGTTAACCTGTGTTTGATTTTCCTCAAAAGATGTGATGTGGTGAGACTTGACAAAAAGTCTAAATACAGGCAACTATAGACATAAGTTGCTGGGTATGTGCAGAAGGGTAGATGCAGTAGCTATTCGCATGTAAAAGATAACTGAACTGTGCTATACTATCACAGAAGCATTTTTCTATGCTTGGAGTGACTACAGGTTTGTCAAGTGCCATAAATGTAAAGTTTTAGTGTATGGGCTTTTAAAGTACACCTTAAGTGTTTGAGGAAATAAAATCAGGAAAATACTGGTGGTATTTTTAAACTTGTGCGCAGAATGTCTGAAATGTGTCAACCCTACAACAAAGCTTCTTCACTACACCTTACATTTCAGCCTGCCTAATTTGTTTACAAACAAAGGTCTTAAGCTGGCCATACACAGATCAGATTTTGGCTGTTTCCTACTGAATCTGCCGCAGGCGCTGGCTGTCAGAATACAATCGCTGGCAAAGGAGATTTCTCCACCCACACTCTTTAACACGGATGAGGGAATTCAGTGATTTTTCTCGTTCAGTGTGTGGGACATAATGAGAAAAATCATAGAGTGTACGCCAGTTTTAGTTGCATACATTTTCAGATATATGTGCAAACTGTATGCAGCATGATCTGCCTTCATCCTGTGCACTCCTCTTTGCTAATCAGTAAGAGCACCAACAATGGTGTGTATATATATATAGCAAAATTACATGAACGTGATTACCTGTGAGTAGCCCCAAACATATCTCTGGTGCATATAGATGGAAAGCACAGACTTGGTAAAAAAAACAGCTGAGCAGACAGAGAAATGTCAGTTTAGTTCAGTTTAATACTAGTGGGCAGTGCAGAACATCCTATTAAATTCTGCCTATTCTTTATAGATGATGGAGCTGAAGGTAACAAAAGATACCATAGCAATAGGAGTCAAATCTGCAAGCCTATACTACTTCTGTGTTTTGTAGGCTAGCTGTATACTAAAAGCAACCTATTCCTAGGCTGATTATCTAATATATTAGGATGTTAAAGATCTACTCTTCTAATAACAAAGTCTTATGTAGAGCGGAGGCAGGGTATGACATGAATATTATTGGGAGAGTCTGTGTTCATTATAACCACCGGGTGCACTTTCAGTGTTTTAATGAGGAAAGTTTCAGTGACTTCATCCCTTTAGAGGTAGTAAACCCTTAGGTTCTATATCACCAAAAATTACATTTCTTTTGCAGGGGATTCCCAAAATGTCACTTGTATCTTATGGCAGACTTCTGGGAAAATCTGTAAACCAATCACACAAGCAGGAAATGGCATTGCTGGGGGCATTCTGAACACCAATGTTGTACAGAATGTTGACATGTTGCATTTCATTTTTTTGAACTGTTTTAAAAATGACAGTGGCTGCAGGCTAAATGGAAAGGTACATTTTCATAAATTACAAAATGGCTTGTGTAGCAATTTTATGTTATATTATTGTTTTAACAAAAGTGGAGTGTGTTTTCAAAAGGGAATGTGATCTGGTATCAGCTTACCTGAGACCCCGCAAAGCCCACCTGAGAGTGACCCTGCAGAGCACACCATAGATACTGCACAGCCCATCTGAGAATCTCTATGGTGGGCTCTGCAGGGCCGGTGGGCTGG